ACAGATATGTTACAGGATGCTGGTGACCCGTGAAGATCCGGTTTGAATTGGGTTTCAGCAACCCATGCTTGTCATAAGAGGCGACTAAGGGGATTGGGTGGTATCCCAAATGTGTACATTGATGCTCATGATGTTGATCATTGGATTGTCTGGTCCAACTCGATCATTTACCGGTGTCATATAGCTGGAATATTGCTGAGTGCGGTATTAAACAACAAGTAAGAAAGCATGGGGATGTGGCCTAATTAAATATTAACATGATATACCGGTACTTTAACGGCCGGAACAAGTGAGGCATCTAACCACATCTGACATGGGAATGCATTGAGTGGTCTAGGCTGAACAGAAGGGGACATAAAGAAGTAGTTGATCTATGGATAGATAATGGAAATCTTATATTTCTTACAGAAACCACCTAGACTAACGCTTAGTCCCTGAATATATATAATTTTAGATAGTAACAAAATTAACCCATTTAAATTGAAAAGGAGCCCAAGTGAGATGGGAAATTCCTGAACCTGGGGAAATCTAGACTTGCTTCATTCAGGGGTTAGCATTGCAGAGAGGGCTTGGCAGTAGGGAAAATAATGTGGTTCAGGTACTGTGAGACAGACTACATTGTAGGGAGGGCTTGGCAGTAGGGAAAATAAGGTGGTTCGGGGACTGTGAGAGAGACTAGGAAACCACCCTGCAACAAAGCAGATAATTTTGTGTTTCACATTGTGATTTAACTGCATAGATATGTATAATATCATGATAAAACAGTGTGTGTGTGTCCCAGGGCACTTATAAAGATGCTTAGTTGTGCCCTTCGGAATTAAAGTGTGCCAATGAGAATATAAATATCAACCCATCACTTATCTCAGTGATAATCAGATCATCAGAGGCTACATAAAACTGCTTATTTCCAATGTTTTTCCCTGTTTACTCATATGAAAGTACATTTATCTTTGATTATTTAATAGGATAAACATTATTGTTAAAATCTTGATATCTGACTGTGTCCTTTAGGCATTGCCATGGCCGGAATGGAATATTGAAATCAGAATTAACTACAGCATTTAAACACCTTACCCATCATCATCATCATCATCATCATCATCATCATCATCATCGTCACTACTACAGCCGCAATCACCTCACGTATCAAATTAACCCATCATCATCATTACATCATTTAACTTATGAAAGTAACTCATCATCACGATCATCACCATCATCACTACAGCATTTGACACCCATCATCATCATCATCATCATCATCATCATCATCATCCACCACCACCTGGCAACAGTCATAACGAACAGGTGTCACATGTTAGTCTGCTGATGAACAACAGAACTTTAGTGACATCTGAATATCTAACAGTGATAAGCAGCTCCTATCAATGGTAGTTGCATAAACCATGAACACCTAGCTTATGTAACACTGCAGTTATCTGGTCATTCTGTCTTTCCTGATAACCAGCAAACACAGTGGAGCTGAATGTTACAATACGTGCATCAATGACATAATACTCCGCCTCATCCTATTTCACCATGTTAACTATCCAGCATGTCTAAATGGGTTCCAGATGTTCATCTCTGCCAGCAGACAAGTAGTGCCAGTCTGGTCAAACGCCATTAACAACCAAAACATATTCATCTCTCCCGAAGCTATTGCCTTGGAATTGGCAGCTCTTGAAAGATGAATTGATATTTTCATTGCATCTTCTGGTCAATGTGATTTTATGTTCATGTGTTGTATAAATAGACTGAGAGAGAGTCTAGGCCTACTAAGCATGGAAGAATGTACCTGATATATATGGATACACTTGACCTATATATATGGCCAACCTCTCCATCCTGAAACGTTTATATACAGTGTTCATCTACACAGGCTCTGTCACAGCACATACACTGTGTGAACTTTCACAGGAAGCGAGGCAAAGGAAAATATACACAAGACCTCCCCAAATCTGTTAGTTCTGATGGAGGCTCTTAATTTCAAGGATTAGAAATTTATTTTTTTGTCTGTAGAATGCTAGTGCCATGGTCCTGTAGCTCACCTGCTCATATATTTCACAGCTAAGATTGCCAGCACAAATGCAAACACTTCCAATGTTTTCAGTATCGCTACTTCTGAAACAGGTGTCCAGAGATAAATGTTGTTACCAATTACATGTGATACATTCAACACAGACAATATTATCTCTTGAACTTTAGCACAGTGAGTGAGTATGGTTTTACGCTGCTTTTAGCAATATTCCAGCAATATCAGGGCAGGGGACACCAGAAATGGGCTTCACTCATTGTACCAATGTGGGGAATTGAACCCGGGTCTTTGGCATGATAAGACTAAAAGGATGCTTTAACCACTTAACCTATAATGTATATACAAGAGGCCTGTGTTATCGTTCAAGCTGCTGTGCGAGACATTAACTGGATCAGCATTATGTATTGTTCTAATGTTTCGATGAAACCTTTGAATTTTGTGAACTTTTGTGCTTGATAAACTTGGTTTACCAAGCCTACAGTTTTCAAATCATTTCTATCTAACATGCCTCAATATGGAATTATACATTAATCAAATCTGACCATGGGAAACCAGTGATTGAAGGCATGAATGACAAGGACGGCCTGGGGGTTTGATGACATGTGGTGAGACAATCCACAGATATCCGTTTATTATGACAAAATGAAGTTATGAAACATATTTTAACCAAACACATTTCATCTGTAATAATTGGAATTTGGAAAAGACAACATTTATTTTATTTCATCTGATACATAACTGATGCTGATGTAATACTGGCAAATACACAGGGCATCAATTATTTAGTCCACATATTTGGAAGTTCAGAATAAACAGGTAATAATTCCAAGTGTTTGTTCATAATCTTAAGAACCAATTCTCCTATGTAAGATAGCTAATGAATAAACGCTTCATGGGAAACTCCATTTGTTGCTTGCATAAGCTGTATTAGTTAGAGGTGAGGTGAAACTGGGTTTAACGTCGTGCTTGAGAATATTTCTCATATTAACACAAATAGGTCTACTCATACAAACATTGATTTATTAATTCTAATAAGTATATTTTGAGTACAAAACCAAATATTAAGACTCAAAATGCATCTACGGTAATTAGCTTTCACATATTTTATTGTATTTACCCCAAAAATATTATTCATGTATTTTCATTACAATAATATATGTTGAGAATATATATGATGACGTGCATGCGTGTGTATGTGTATGTGCGGCTGCTTGTACTAGCCCAGACTTAAGCTGGTTTGATAGTGCTAGCCCACTGGGATACCACGCCACAGTCAAGCATGAATACCCCACTCAGACACATTATACTGACTCCGAGCTGACCAGTCCTTGTTGTACCCATTAATGCTGAGCGCCAGGCTGGGACCAACAAGTACCATATTTTAACGTCTTTTGGTATGACGCTGTCGGGGATCGAACCCACGACCTTCCTCTCTCCGGGCAGACGCTCTAACCACTACACCACGGAGGCGGTCTGTATTAGTTAGAATACATAATCCCTTAGATATCAATATGTATGAATCAAACTCTAACATAGAGTTACTAGTTCTAGGCATACACAAAACACTTTATTTGGACCTTCTTGGCTGTTCTGTTTTTGCACCAATGCATAATTTATGTGCAAAGTTTACTGGATATATTATATGGAAGATACAAGTATTATAATGAATTTTACAGGATTTTGTATTATCAAAGCTCAAATATTTTTGTTCTAGATATATACAACACAAAGATAAGTTACAGACATCTGATTATTTCATATCAGTATAGTTGATCATATGCATAAAACAATTATGCACATGGGATATTATAGAATCAAATCCGTAACAATTTTTTAGTACATTCCAAGTTTTTGTTTGCTCCAGGTATATTACAGTCTGTAGTTGATCAGGTCTGGATCAGACAATCCATTGGTGGATATTGTGAGTCACAATCCATGGTGTCAGGGTGGCACGACCCACACTCAATCAAGTACCTCAGTCATAACAGCCAAGAAATTGGTATTGTTCATAGACAATTATTATGTTAACTGTCTGCACCACTAATGTTGAGACAATGGAGACTAATGAACATAATATACCATATGAGAATTATAGCTTTCCACACACTGAAATCTCTGAGCAGATTTCATTTCAAAAGCGGTTAGGACAGACCAATTTTATTTCTTGTTTTACGGATCCGCTTGTCATATTTTTTCAAGAATAATAATAAAAAAAAAATTCATTTTCCGTGCTCAAAACATAAATCCTAATGTTTTTATTAGCCAAAACTGTAAACTTACAAGAAATTTTTTAGATGGTTTTTGCCCCATATACACTTCATAAATTGCCAAAAGTAAAATACTTTGAGTATTTAGAAGGAATATTACTTTGACTGGTGGTTTTATTTTTATTTTTCCCTCCTGCCTTTCGGTTTTGTGAGGACAAAATCCGTAAAATAAGAAATAAAATTGGTCTGGTCTTACCTGTAATTTTAAGATTCAGAGAGACAAGGTATAATATGACTATCAGTGACAGATCCAGTACAGACACATTAAGTGCACATCCATTCTTCAGCCACTTTACATGTTAAATGAACCCCTCAATTGAGTGCCTGTGTGAGTTCATGACTTTGTCTAATGTGCAGCTGCATGCACTCTTTAAAAATCCTGGATTCCTACTCTTCCACTTGTTGACTAGTTGTCCTGTGTTCTGGTAGTGTAAAGAGACTCTCCTGTATCAGATCTACAAAGTTCATCTACCCACCAATACCTCCTACTGCTCCAGGCAATATCAATTATCAGTAACTTCATTTAATGTTTTCAAGTTAACGAATGAACATAAGCCTTTTATCTGTGTGGCAGGCTTGAGGCATGTATCTTATCAAAGGTTATCTTCACAAGTGACCTTTGCGGAAAAGGAAGATACCGAATACGACACCTCTTTCTGAGGAACTTAATCTGCCAAATGATAGGAACGTCAACTTACCTCACGGATTCCAGAGTCTCCTTTAAGAGTGATCTTCCGTTGATATCAATTATTTCGTCATTTATCTTAATTCGACCGTCAGCGTACGCCAAACTTCCAGCTTTAATTAATACAACCCGGAATGCCGATGTTTGGGTGGAGCTAGCGTTAGGCGCCACAACACCATTGCTAGACCTATAACTTTCATTCCCACTATCGCTGGCAGTTCTTGGACGAGCAAAAACAATGGGTACACTGTCGATAACGATGCCCAATTCCTTGCCCCTTGGCTGGTAGAATTCTACACAGAAAATCTGATCCTTACGCGGGGGTTTAGTAGGAGGGGGTGATTTGGAGAGTTCTTTATTTCGGGATTCCGACATAAACGTCGCGATTCTTCTGTCCCTGGGTAAATCCATATCATCATCTGTCTCCACCTGAGATGTGGATGCTGCACGTGCCGGGAGGGTCCCTTTTCCAAAATCATACTGAGACTTACCACCCCGACGGTTCTTTAAACTGCCCCTTCTTCCGGTGGAATTTGGGGGAAAGATTCGACTGAAATATGACTTCAAGGTATCCATATCTTTGCCGCTGACACAAGTTATTTCACCCGATAGCACTTTTCTGCGTCGCCGCTTTCTCCTAAATTGCGGCACCACATGCCAGGTTGGTCACAAGAAACTTAATCCCACTTTTTTTCCAGTTGGAGAATATGCTTGAGAATGCCACACACAAGAAGCCGTTTGGCCTATTTAACACAAGGCATCACCTGGTTCCTCCACGAACACCGGTTTCATGACATTAGCTGCGACCGACTAAAACATTTCTGGGAAAGACTTCTTTGGCGACATGTTCCATTCATTTTACGTTCCAACAATCCTATACACGCAACAAGTTAGGCGCGTTCCCGTCAAAATCGAGTTCATCAGTAATTACTTCACTACCAGAGTAAGTCCACACACCACTAGCTCCGACAGCAACTCAGGAAATAATAGCGATTGTCCAAGTCAATTGGGTTCAATTATCATCAAACAGTTTACTCACATCGCTCTTCCCTTCTTAACATGGAACTGCACTTGTTGCAACTGTCCAACTGGTGTCGTCTGCCTCGGGGAATTGTCATAGTCGAAGCGAGCCCACTGTGATATTAATCCGTAGCAGACGTGGACTGTGACAGGCGATGGATCTTTCCTTCGTGTGACAGAAAATTCAAAACAGCGTTCTTCCTCAAGTATTCTGTTACAGGTATGTACTATCGATCTTCACAAGCTCATTACCCGTCTGCTTGGTGAAGGCGTTCGTTGCCCCACGTGCTACTGTTGATGTAACTCGCTCGCAGTAGCAGACGAATTATTCTCCCGAACAGTCACATGGCCAGGTTGCCTGAAGTCGACAGTTATACACATATAAATTAGGTCACATGCCTCAGTGGCCCGTGAGAAAAACGACGGGTGATTGTTATATATACATTTTGAGGTCACAACAGCTGATGTAGATTCATAAGTCCTTTATCGAGCAGTTTCCACGCGTATGTGATACTAAACCATCCAGGCGCTAACATCCAATGCAGTTCAGCCAAGGGTGCTCTGATTGGATAATTACCTCCTGGTCTGGCCAATCAAAATGGGTAACTTGTTTTCTCACCCCAAGCGCTGGACATATGGAATCAATGTGTCCCCAGAAAACTTCAATTCGGAGCAGAGTTGAGAAAATGGCGGTATGTGTAGTTTTTATGCAGAAATTTAAGATAAGAAGTATATGTGGTGTACCCTGTACAGAGCTGCAGCTGAATGGGATTTGAAAGAAAGGTTGGAATCGTGAAAATGTCAGCTCTTGCTTCTCGAACGTGTGTGGAAACGATATTCTTGAAACAGGATCTTTGGCCATCAGGAGACAAGTACTCAACAGCCCAGCTGTTGGAGGAAGGCTTAACAGATCATTGGGCCTCGGCCCGTTGTGGAAAGGCTCGCGTGTACAGCATCGTGTGGGGCTCCTGTCGTGTGGGATGGGTCTCCCAGCAGCACTTTGTATTGTGTTATATATTACAGCCTGGATCATCATAAACGATGAGTCTTTACAGACATTTAGAAGTTAGATATTGATAGGAACAGAAACTTTTTTGAAGCAGCTCTTCATATTATACACACGCAACGTTTCAGTGCCACTTCTGAAGGGGCAAGAAGTAGCCATGAAACTTTGTGACTTCACCTGATGACACGGCAAGAAGTAGCCCTGTATCGAACAAATGCCGTTTTGTATTAACTGCTAAACTTTTCAACTTTGTGGTAAGTAAATAAGGTCTCGATCATACAAGTGACTGATACTATGAGCAACATTTGACGTCATTGTTGCACTTTGACTCACTTTCTTCTATGATCATCCGATCCAGTTGGTCGCATCCTACGACCAGCACGCGTGTGTGTGTGTGTGTGTGTGTGTGTGTGTGTGTGTGGAGCGAGTTGGGGTAAATGTAGAAGAGTGAAAGTGCTGCATTGGTTTTATTCCTGTTATGACTACGCCAATGATGGACACAAAACCACATGTGGAATGTAAATGTGTCAGGTGAATGTTGCTGTGATGTAGATAGTTATGGTTACCACTACGGGGGAAACACACGAGTGCGGATCTGAAGGTTCCAAGAAGCGATCTGACTGCTGCGACTATCCCGCATATGGAGCTACGTCATTCGTAGCGTTAATATGGCTTTGGGGACATACCAAATGACCAATAACCAGGGCGAATCTGGGCCATCTTCATATTGCGTGTGGGTATGTGTGCGTGCGTGCGTCCGTAATCGCAGTTTCGGCTGGCGGGGGTTCTTTTGGTCCTCTTCCCCTCATGTTAACCTACTAGCTAGCTACCAACAGACATTAGTTATTTGGACCCAAGAGGTACCTTGCGTATATTACAAGCAACAGAATAAAATACCAGTTGACCAATCAGACACCAAAAGTACAAATCATTCTTTCCGTCAAGAATGTTTGAGTTCGAGAATGTGAAACATAAATATGTTGTAAAATAATGAAACAGATTGTCTAAAAACTGACTTTAGTCTGCAGGGATGTCGTTGCTGAAGTCGACTCTGACATCCGTTCATATCCCTGGTGTGCAAAACGTGTTGCTGGACGGAAACATTTGGAGATTTAAACACGTGTGTCTACGAAACACGACCCGTTCACGACAAATGCAATACCCATTGTTTTTTTCTGTATCTTTTACTCAAAATTTGAAAAAGATTGCCGTGTACTGTCTTTTTCCCCATCAGGGTTGTGAAAATGCCTGATGAGGCACAGAGATTGGGGTCAGTCGGGAAACCTGCCCCCGACACATGAATGACTTTTGATCAGATAATGTGAAAACACAGTAAGTGCACTCAAAGCTGAAACAATAGCCAGTAGAGGTTAGCAGGATTCTGTTTGTTTAGCGTGAGTCACGTCTAAGGATATCTTAATTGTCTCTCGAATGCTGTAAAATGCAGCATAAATAACTCCCCCCGTGCTTCAATTCGCGTTCTACCAACATTGGTATCTAGCCCATGTTATGCAACCCAACTCCGCTTATCTACCTTTACATGTAGATACTAACGGAAATTGTGATGGCTCATCTAAACTTCCAAATTGTTAAAGAACTAGCGTTATCATCCGGATCTACACAAACTCCATGTTAAGTAAACTTCGAGAGTGTTACATGCTCAATGATAAGCATGGTTAAATGTATCAGCCAAAAAGCTGTATCCTAACTATTAAATTATGTACATATTGACGTGGTCATGGAAACAACATGAAATGTTCGTTAATGTACGACTTTGTTTAAATTTACACTAAACATCTGGAGGAAGATGTTTATAGCTTAATGTGCATTAATGTGCATGTATACTAAATATTAATGGGGCGACAGTCGACGACCACAGCGTTGGGTTCGGTATGGCTACATTTTCCTTACCGCCCAGTCCTTTCTGTAATGCTGGGGCGGTGGGATACCCAAGTGGTTAAAGCGCTCGCTCGTCACGCCGAAGACCCGGGTTCGATTCCCCACATGGGTACAATGTGTGAAGCCCATTTCTGGTGTTCCCCCGCCGTGATATTGCTGGAATATTGCTAAATAGGCTTAAAAATAAACTAACTCACTCATTTCTGTAATGCTAAAGCCCTAAATGGAGCAAGGCTAGATTTGTTCAGGTTCTGAAGCTTCCCATTTCACTTGGACGCCTTTAAAATTAAAATGGGTTTATTGGTTCTATCAAAATTACATATATTCAGAGACTAGGCGTTAGTCTAGGTATGACTTGTTTGTCGGGATCGACAATTGTCTTTTCTATACTATTTGTAGGCGTGTTTTTGAAACACCTCCCAAAGACCATATTTCACAACGTAATTTACACTGGGGGACTTCCATACTATAAAGGTAGAAAAAGATCCATTCACTCCATATATGACCCCTGATCCTCCACACACTCTTAACGTCAGGGAACAGTACAGCGAATCCATTGTTACCTGTAGTGTGGGACAATCAGTATAACGTTCACCCATGAGAAAGTCAGGCGTCCGATATTTCAAAGGCTTGAGACCCGTGAACATCCGGGTTAGAATTGATCTTCAGTAACCCAAGAGGCGACTAATGGGATCGGGTGGTGAGGCTCACTGACTTGGTTGACACATGTCATCGTATCCCAGTTGCGTAGATCGATGCTCGTGCTGTTGATCACTGGAATGCCTGGTCCAGACTCGATTATTTACAGACCGCCGCCATATAGCTGGAATATTGCTGAGTGCGGCGTAAAACTCAACTCACTCACACTGCTGTATAACTTATTCAATGCCTATGTCGAACTTCGGTTATAGCAAACTGAAACTAGTGGTCTCGTTGATTTCATTCTAATCGTAGTTTACTGTACATGAAGAGAGCTCGTAAAATGACGGAAGTAACAGATCGTCCAGCCATCGCTGTCGTGGTCCGATGACCATCCATCTTCGCCTTGACCACCCATAAGACAAGATAATTGCGCAAACGTTCCATGCAGAAACAGTGACAATATTCTATAAATGGCATATTCCTCCTGTTTACACTATTCCCTCGCTTCCGGGGATGTCTGCATTCTGTACACTTTGGCCTTCAACAGCAGGAGGGATGGTGGACAATCTTGCTGGGGAACCGCGCACGTTGCAAATGCACTCGCCGCTGTCTTAGTAAGGTCTAGTGTTGGGAATTGGTTGAAATCTCACAATTGATGATTGCTTCATTACCAACGAACAATCATCGACAAAAATTGGTTAGCGTCATTTTTCAGATTTTCCTACCAAGGTTGTTATTGTAGATATGTATAACATGATGCAACTTGCTACTTTAAAGTGATGAGTAATATATCATGAATATAAACTTTCTGGAGTCTTCAAGAAATATTCAGTCATGACTTTTCAGTTAGTGAAGTGAGTTTTCTAAAAATTAAACAAGTTTTCAGGCCCTGACAACTTCGAAGATGTGTTCCATCGTCAAGTGTTTCAAACACTGAAACAGCAGTTCCCAAATCGTTTGTGTTCGATTATGAGAAAATGTGATCGATTGCTTGGTCGTTTGGTCACTTCGACCAATCTTCGATTATTTCAATTAATCGGAACACCACTAGTAAGGTGTAACTAGGATTGCTGGTGAGCTACAGCCTAGATTATATAACATAATTCTGTTTAAATGTAATTCTATATGCTACTGACTGTGGCACTGTTCTTCATACTAACAGGATCCTCTGAGGAAAAGGTTCATAAATGATTTACTTGGGATATGCCAAAATACTGACGATATAAAGTTTAATTTCCACTCAAGCCGGTTAAACAGATTATTGTCTTCTGACTTGAATTCAGTTTTTTTCCCGACAAATTGCACGAAGCGGCGCCCAGTGACCATACTACCACTTGGACATACCTATTTTATGTGTTCTATTAGACTATACATGCCTAGTTTATTTAATATGCGTTTGCAGGGACCATTTCATCTTTGCATAATACCACCGTGGGAAGCCGGGGTAGGTTGTGCCCCTAGCTTCTCATTGCTTGTTATATAAACTCCGATGAAAAGGCTCCTATTGAAAGTAACGGAAGGTGCGAGAGGTGACACTTGTGGTACGAGGCGACTGAAAGGACTGAGCGTTCGAGCTCAGTGACTTACTTGAAAGCATGTCGTCTCAACCGGACATCGTGGCTCGTCGCTCATAAAATAAATCACTGGATTGTCTGTCATATACGAGTAGCTGGAATATTACAGAGGGACACTTTAATAACCCCTAAATAATTAAATAATTAAATAATTAAATAAATAAGTAAAAATCAGTAAATAAATAAATAAATAATTAAATCAATAATTAAATAAATAAATAAATACATAAATAAATACATAAATAAATAAATAAATACATAAATAAATACATACATAAATAAATACATAAATAAATACATACATAAATAAATACATACATAAATAAATACATACATACATACATACATACATATACATACATACATAAATACATACATACATACATAAATAC